GTGACTGAACTCCTCCTATTAACCTTCTTCAATATTGGTGCCACTAAAGCTTCACACTTTTTATTCAGATCATAACAGTGGAACCTTCCTCCAAGAAAAAATATTCTGTCATCAATTAATTCCATCTTTAACCATTTTTCACCATCAATCAATCCACTTGCCCTATTCGTCCAACTATTTGTATCCATGTTGAATAATGCAAGCGCATCTGACACCTTAGTGTAAATAGAGTTCCCATAAATCACAGCACCTCCTTCATATGACAATGACACACCTCTATATGTTGTATTAGCTTTCGTAAGACAAGACCAGGTTCTGTTTTTTGGATTGAAGTAATTGATAGTGTCAGAAGGTTGACCATTTACAAAACCTCCAATGAAACATACCACACTGTTTTTCCGATGCTGTGCTTCTTTCTCTGGTCCTCCTTGACTAGATATAAGTCTGTCTTCAAGTTCACCAACTTGGCTACCACTGAGCATTAGTTCTTTGCAAAGACGTTCAACTAAATATACAGAAGTGATCAATTCCAATTTTACATGTTGTATTACTTCAACAAAATCTTCTTTTCTAGAACCATTCTTATAGAGAAACCACTCAAGCACTGCTAAACCAATTTCAGTCTCACTATCAGCAACAAGCTCTTCATCTGATATAATTTCTATCAGCAATTCCTTTGATAGATCCAGAAACTCTTGTACCTTACAAACCAATTTGAAATGGTTCAAAGCGTACATTTTTGCCTGCTCACTACCTGCAAGTGAGAGTGACACCATCATCTGCCAGATTCCAAGGCAAGTCTCAGCCTCAAGATTGTTTAAGATGAACCTGGCACATCTATCTCTAACATACAAGACTTGAAATAGGTTTGCAGCTTGCAGAATAGCCTGCACATTAGCACTGGTAATGAAGATTTTGCCGGTGAAGAAATAGTCAAGTAGTGATGCCATTGTAGTAGAATCCACACCTTTTATGGTTATTTTGCGTTGGTGACATTCTTGCATACCACTATCGAACATACTTTTAAAGTAACTACAACTATTTTCCAACACAACTTTATGACAAGGGAATTCTGTACCATCTACATCGAGAATTACATCAGTTTGTTTGGATTCTTTTCTTGCCACATTAATTTTTTCCAAAAGCAATACAGATTGATCAGGATTGTGTATTTGTGTAGAGTGCATTATGTTGAGCGGCTTTTCCCAATATTTAGTTTTCTTTAAAACCTGGTCTTCTTGGGTGGATGTCATTATTGATCTGAACAGAAAATATCACATATTTGTTTAATTAAATATCACATGGTGCAATTGATTGATGTAATATACATTCCACACTATTTGACATCACAAAAATATATGAACTGAGCATGCCTGGTATACACATGTTGATTGCCAGGTCACATTACAGTGCTAGACACTAAGGGTGATCCTATAGCCTGGAACAGGTAAAATTGCCATTTGGACAACTGAATTACAACTCACTAGCCTATAGTAAATATATTAGCAACATGCATTTTGGGCAAGTTTTAAACTCAACTCATCTAACAAATCATCTAACAATTAAAGCAAGTCGTACTTATAACACTATGAATGACATTTCATTTGTATTAACATTTATTTTCCCACAATCCTATGCGCTCTTGTAATGAAAATCAAAAGTACGAGTTTTGACCTTGGTGCAACGTGCACTAATTACCGTCGGTGACACTTTCGATGCCTTCCAATCACCAAACAAATTATCCAGTCAATGTCATTTCACTTATTGGTCTGTGCAACAGTCAAAATCTTAATCTTTGTTCCTATGACTCCCATATCTCGCGCATGCGTGGCGCGACGATCACCGCCCTTTAAGATAGGTATACAATTTGTTTAAACATTAAACATTAGTATACGATTAGGATATTCATTTAGAACAGGTTGCTGTTTTTTTCTAGTTTAAAAAATATGCGTCTTCATCCCTTGTCTATTTCGTACACAAGATTGAGATGCCAACCGACGACGCCACCCCAATCTGATTAAAATCAGATGTAGATATGAGGCTCCAATTTTTTATTTTTTTTTTATATATATATATAACCTTTTATATTATATTTATTTGTATTTTAGTTTGAATATGTCGATTTTTTGGGGTTTTTCTTGCCGTTAATCAGTTCTTAGAAAATTGTGTCCCAGTCTCCTCTAACTACATCTGACTCAATACCTATACAAATCTCGTACAACGAGATCAGTTTTCGACAAGTTTTGTCGACCAATCATAGTGCGGCTTACAAAAATAGCTGTCTGACTTTGCACATGCGCCAGACTCATCGTTCCAGGCTATTTCAAGATGGCTGCAAGTAATGTTAGAACCGATGTGAAATCAATCGAGGATTCTGAATTTGAGGCGAGTTTTAGTCACTTTTACAAAAACTTAATTATTATTTGTGAGCAATCACGATTGATGTATGTAATTCATTTGAGATAATTTGGATTTCAACTTTGATACCTTGTATTACCGCAGGTGAGGCGGCAGTCACCGATCATGTTAACCAGTCGACTTTATACTGATACAGTCAGAACGATCTAACTATTGCATTATGAGTTAATATATTACGGCCAGGCAATGTTTTTGCGAGTCTCTGATAAACCTATGGCTTTCATGTCAGTGATTTTCGTATTTGTATTTATCCTTTCAACGACATCCCCTACTTCCATCTTAACCGTAAACGGTCCGAGCG